CCAGGCAAACATGACATGAAAATCAAGATCGGAGCTGGATTCAAACTAGTGGCCTTAAGTAATCTGCCAACTGATCACCGAGATGGAACTATTAATTAAATCTTAAACCTGCTGCAACTTAGGCTTCCATTTTCATATTCAGTCTTTACTTAGTACCAATAATAAAGTCTACCAAACCCCACCTTATCAGACAGTCAAAATGAGAAAAACGTTTGTTAACTCAGTTTTTACCCTTCGTTGTCTTTATTTCGAATGAAAGAAGAGCTTACAGCTAAGAGGATCTAAATCATCGTTCCCTAGAAAACTATAATTTCCAAAAAAAACTCTTTGAAGGAATCGATTAAAAGAGATTTAGGACAATGAACTACCAAGTAATCCACCAGTCACTCACTGTAGTAGTTCGCCTTGAGGAAAAATTGGTTTGAAAGGATAATATCAGTGTGCATGCTCAAGCGCATATGTTCACCTTAAAATTTGCATACAGCTTGTTGACATCTCTCATCAAAGTTTAACTATGAGGTACAGCGATTCCGCTTATAATTTATCTACAACTGATTTCTACTGAAAAAGCATAGATAATTCATTCGTATTCTCCACATCTGATCTTGTCAAATAATTAAGTATTCTGACATCAAAAATCAAAGTAACTGGAGATTATTTCATGTCTAGTTTGTACTAGGAACGGCGAGATACAAGTTATTACACGCAAGAAAATACCAATTGCATCCGTGATAATATTATGGTAAGTCCTGAAATAAAATTCAACTGTTTCTGAAACCTCCGTTACTTCAATATAGGAGTAAACCTTAGGCATTGTGGTCGATTGTAATTCCGAGTCTTTCTTTGTTTATCGAATCAGCACCAAACACATGCAATCGAAATGATTCTGCACCCGTCCCAGACATATGGAAAATTCTACTAGCACTATCATCATAGAGAAGGAGACAAAATTAGGAATATACAAACTCTGTCACCAAGTTGTGGAGTTATCTGATATGAATATGGACAATAAATTGTATCCGAAACGTTATCCATTAAATAATACTGTTTCACTGCGTGATATTTCTAACAAACCTCCGTTACTTCATTCAAAAATAATGTTTTCTATTACTAATGAGCCACAGATAACTGCAATCAGTACTAGACAAGACCACATCCCAGATGGCAACATCAAAATTCAGATGGGTAGAGTGACATGAATGCCAAACTCGGGGCAGACAACACAGGTAGAGAAATCATCATGGGTAGAGATGATGAACGAGAATGAAGAACTGTTTGCAAATTTCTGCGCATTCAACGATTTCGTGATTCCAGGCAGTGTGTACAAATACAAAGATATTCACAAAGCCACATAGATTTGATCTCACCAGATGGATGCACCACACTCAATATCAGATCGAATTAGTCTCAATCTGTGAAGAAAGTGGAGATGGAGAGGCAGTCTACTGGACACAAGATCAGATCAAAAAGGGGAGCAGATGTAGGTTCACACCACTCACCATCTACTGCAAGCAACCTACCTTCAAAATCAAGTTGATAGCCTTCAAAGAAGTTGGTGATACACCACACTTCAAGTTCAACACACAGAACAGAAACCGCACTGAAGGACAAAACTACAAAAGAAATCTTAACGTCAGCAATCAAGAAAAGAAAAGATGGGAGATATTGGGCAACATTCATGAGGAAACCTGTGTGGAAGAACACTGGAAGTCTTTGAAAGAGATGTGGAAAGAAACCTGCATAAGCGTATTAGGAAGGAAGAAGAAGCAAGACAAGGAATGGATATCCACGGACACATGGAAGCTGATAGATGAGGCAGAGGAAGATGGTGAAGCAGAAGATAAACCAGTGCAATGCAGTCCAGGGATGAACAACGAAAAGAGGAATTGAACGCAACCTATAAAAATACTGCACTGGACAAAGAAGTGAAGAAGAGTTCGTGGAAGGACAAAATACACTTCTATGAAACACTGGCAAGTGAGGCAGAACAGGCTGCTGGTAAGAGAGACAGAGACCTGACAACATTGTATCAAATAACCAGGTTGCTATCTGGGAAGAGATCAACGCAGACGAAGCCAATAAAAGATGATGACGGAAATTTAATTACGAAAGAAGAGGAACAAAGGAAACAATGGGCCGACCACTTCAAGAAGCTCTTGAATCGACCACCACCTGCAGTTCGTCTAGAAATAACAACGGCAATCGAAGAATTACCAGTGAACACAAGCCCCACGACAAAAGCAGAAGTGAACTCCTAAACCCTATAAAGTTACTTAAGTCCGCGAAAGCACCACGACAACACGGAATTCTCCAGAAACACTGAAAACAGATTCAGAGACAACAGTGAACATGCTCACATCACTACTGCACAAGGCTTGCAAGGAAGGAAAGGTACCTACCCATTATTCGCAAGAACGGCTACCTTGTCAAAATCCCAAAAGAACGGAGACGTGAGTCTTTGCAAGAACTGGCACGGAAGCATGCTCCTGCTCCTCTCCATCCCAAGCAAAATATTATGCCGCATCATCCTGGAGAGACCTAGAAGTGCTCTGCATTTGAAATCACCAACGGAACAGGCCGACTGGATTTAGGAAGAACAAATCATGTACGCATCAAATTGCAACACTACACTACGCATCATCATAGAACTGAGTAAAGAATGACAGTCAACCCTCTACCTCAAATTCATCGATTTTGAAAAGGCCTTCGACAGCCTTGACCGAGAAGTAATTCGGCAGCTGCTGCTTCAACACTACGGTTCCAGTGCCACAAACCTCTATATTAGCCTCATTCAACAGCTATATAATGATGTCAAGTGATTCACAATGGAAGGCTCAGTGATGTCTTCGAAGTGAAGAGAGGAGTAAGTCAAGACTGCCGCCTACTATCACCCATGATCTTCCTGATTGTGGTCGACTGGATCATGCAACAAACTGTGAGGAGCGAGAAGAGGGGCAAACACTGGCTGGACTGATGAAAAAAACCTAGAAGACTTGGATTTCGCCAACTATGATGATTTATGCCCAATGTCTTGTCGCACAAACTCCAAGATCTACAGGCGGAAAATAACAAGTTGACGGAGGAGGAGAGGCAGTGAAGACACGACTTCAAGTCGACCTAGAGAAGACGGAGTTGATGAAGATACACAACCAACAACAACAACAACAACAAACACTAATCACCATCAACGGGAGGAATCTAAGGGAAGTAGTCTCTTTCACCTACCTAAGCAAGGCAGCATCCTTCCAACTATAGGCGACGGCACACATGAGGACGTCAAAGTCAGGATCCGAAAAGCAAGACAGACTTTCCTACACTAACCTGAAATCAGTGTAGAGATCTACACAAAGCACACAGCACAAAGCGTGAACAACATCCCGATTTTCAACACCAACGTCAAGTCAGTGATTCTATGTGATGGTTCATAGACTTGACGCGTTACGAAAAGCATTCCCAACAAACTACACACATTCATCAACAGCTGACAACTACGCTCACTCGATATCGAACATCACATGGTCAGAATAACATGAATAAGCAACAAGGAACTCACTCTGGCCTGGCAACGAATCAACCAACAACCCATCACCATACAAATATACAGAAGGAAGTCGAGATGGATTGGATTGCGTATACACTGAGAAGACTATTCGGGGACATCACGTGCCAGGCCAGTCCCTCGAGTGGAACCCACATGGGAAACGACTAGTTGAGCATCCGAGGGTGACATGGTGTGAGGAAGAAATGAAAGCTTGTGGGCAGTTGTGGAGTCAGGTTCAGAAGAGTGTAGAGAGAACAGAGTGAAATGGCGACGTGCTACTGAAGCTCTGTGTTCCACTGGGAACCCAGGAGAAAAACAGTAATAACTAATTAACGAGGAACATATTGTCAGTAGGGAAAACTGAACAATGCTATCATGAATGAAACTACGCAAGACAAGAATTACATCATTAACACAACTTCAAATAGTGATTTATTCGCATGGGTTGGCTAAAATTCTGCCTTAAGAATATCGACTATGTTGCTATGATTGTTGCTAACACGAGTATAAAGCAATACATGCTGTTGTAGACTTATATATCATAGGTGATGAAAACCGATTTCTACGTTTCCTGATAATGTTGCCTACTACCAAACTTTATAAACCTCCTCTATATTTATAGAAAAGTAGTTTTTGTCAGTTTGCTGTAAACCACAAGTTTCTCAGTAAGTCAACGGTGAGGTGAAGATGCATAACATTTAGCATAGAGCTCAATTACAATGGCATAGTTGATTTGCTAATAAAAGCATAGCAATGAAGAGTTGAGACATATAACAGTCTGCTGTGACATTTTAATATTACGCAATTCGTCTCGTCCCTAAATTTGAATAGAGTAATAGCGATGGACTGAGCAAAAAATATTTATAAATGTATAATCTGTTTATCAATTATTATAACTCCACGCACACTATTCTTGTGACTTTAATGTTAGCTTGTCTTCAAGCCAGTTATTTCCTATCAAACTGTAAACATGTTTTGCATATTTCAATACTAAAATTGTTTTAGGTTGTAAGCTGATGAGTTTAAAAAATGCAATGAACCAATGCTATCATTCTACTATAGTCGCTCTATTTCAGTCTCAATATTTACTATCGTTTCACTCCACTAACGGTTAGCAGTAAACTAAGTTACCTATAAGTCATACGTAAGTAGTAATTAAGAACAAAGCAATACAACCTTTGTCCCTAAGTCATTATCATTGAAAAAATATCTAAAATAACATGTATGGAAGAAGAAAGCAAAAAAACAACAAGAGAGCAACAACAAAACAGATTATGCATTAACGCTAGTGATATGTGAAGGAGAAATATACACTGTAGAACAACCAGTTAAGCTCTGATACAAAAGAGGAGAGAAAGTGAATGAAAGAACTTGACAACACAATGAAGAAAAATAATGCTAACAAAAGTACAGTAATGATAGTGACACGATAAGCAACAAAAATCACCTCATACAAATGTCAGAGTTTACATAAGCAAAAGAGAATTGGTAAAAATGCACCAATCGTTGCTAGAATTGGCAAAATCAAATAAGACCAGTCCGTGGAAGCATATGGATCTTTTGCTTTTGGAGACCTAGATAGCCTTCGCTGAGGAGATTCTTGGTCTTCGTCTTGTTCTTCTTCCTGAGGTTCAAGTAGTTTACGATATTTATGAGGTAGTACCACTTCTTCTTTTTCTAACGGTGGTAGCTGGGGAACATCTGAGAAATGATGTAAATGAAAACCAGAAAAAAAAATATGATTAGTGATGAAATAAACGGAGTTACACTTATCGCAAACTAGAGTAGAAATGAAAAACGTTTACCCGCTTCAGTGGTACACCTCGACTGTTCTTGTAATGATTGAAACTGTTAGCAATAACGTTCATCAAATACTGAAATTATTGTGTGGATGAAAATTAACAAAATTAGTGAACGCCATTGAAGTGTTTACACGTGCTAACAAACACAACCTCTAGGTTACTACAGAGTAGTCGATGCCAACAACCCGTAAGCAGTTGTATAACGTTTTCTATAATACTATGCTAATCTGACTGTTTTCGGCTTTGTGAATAAAATCGCTTATAAAGAAAAGGAACTTAAAGCTGCCGAGTAAATCAGGAAATAATTATACTATTTACCTAAAAGTTATTCATATGCCAAAAAATTTCCGTTCGATACAATATGCACGGTGGAAGTGAATATAAAATAGGAATGTTAAAAAAGAAACAAATCATCGAAACAGCGGTTTGGTAGTCTCTGAGCTTTGATACTTTTTTGTGAACATTTCATTAATAAGGTTGGTAACACCATCTGGAACAACTTCAAAGAAATTTAAACGATCATCACCCTCCCTCTTAAGCTACAGATATTTTACGTCACTTTGCAGTTCATTGACATATGAAAAATTAACAAAAGACAATTTAGCAAAGAAAACAAAATTTCGATGGATGATCTTTAAGAGCCATACAATCGTAATCATAATTACAACAAAATATATATCCATCAGTAGATAACGGTTCAACACAAAGCCATTAAAAAATGTCAATAAAGTCGAAAGATGATAACGGCTAGAAAGTCAACTCAAGGTCATCGAAGACTGTTGACAGGATTACAACAAATAAACAAATAATAAACAAAATGAATACAATTTCGTAGGGAGATTACGACCAAGGTAAAATTAGAGACTCAAGGTATCTCTTATGAATGCGAAGCTCAGGCTTGAACCTTTGGATTGTTAAAGGTTCTACTGTGCTGAGATAGCGAGAACGCACTCTGTTCGAGACGTTTGATTTCAGCTTATAAATGACTTTGAAAGGAGATTCTTGTGGAGCAAAGTGACCAGAGTCAACCAAATACTCAAGAATTGAGCTGTTAATGGCTTTACACTCTCCTTTAGACGCTTTTGTATTTCGTTAGTAGATACAATGAATAGTGGAGTACATGATTTTTTATTAGAGTTGTTAGCATAACTAATACGGTACGAACTCGTATTGCTACAGTTTCATACATTTCAAAATTGCAAAGAAATGAACAGAAGAAGAAAACAAAACACAATTGACTACAAAATTAATAGCATCTAACTAAAGCTTGGTAAAAAGTTGTCTAAACTTATTCAAGGTAGCTAGAATCCCAACAGAAGCACTGAAAACAGATTCAGAGACAACAGTGAACATGCTCACATCACTACTGCACAAGGCTTGCAAGGAAGGAAGGTACCTACCCATTATTCGCAAGAACGGCTACCTTGTCAAAATCCCAAAAGAACGGAGACGTGAGTCTTTGCAAGAACTGGCACGGAAGCATGCTCCTGCTCCTCTCCATCCCAAGCAAAATATTATGCCGCATCATCCTGGAGAGACCTAGAAGTGCTCTGCATTTGAAATCACCAACGGAACAGGCCGACTGGATTTAGGAAGAACAAATCATGTACGCATCAAATTGCAACACTACACTACGCATCATCATAGAACTGAGTAAAGAATGACAGTCAACCCTCTACCTCAACTTCATCGATTTTGAAAAGGCCTTCGACAGCCTTGACCGAGAAGTAATTCGGCAGCTGCTGCTTCAACACTACGGTTCCAGTGCCACAAACCTCTATATTAGCCTCATTCAACAGCTATATAATGATGTCAAGTGATTCACAATGGAAGGCTCAGTGATGTCTTCGAAGTGAAGAGAGGAGTAAGTCAAGACTGCCGCCTACTATCACCCATGATCTTCCTGATTGTGGTCGACTGGATCATGCAACAAACTGTGAGGAGCGAGAAGAGGGGCAAACACTGGCTGGACTGATGAAAAAAACCTAGAAGACTTGGATTTCGCCAACTATGATGATTTATGCCCAATGTCTTGTCGCACAAACTCCAAGATCTACAGGCGGAAAATAACAAGTTGACGGAGGAGGAGAGGCAGTGAAGACACGACTTCAAGTCGACCTAGAGAAGACGGAGTTGATGAAGATACACAACCAACAACAACAACAACAACAAACACTAATCACCATCAACGGGAGGAATCTAAGGGAAGTAGTCTCTTTCACCTACCTAAGCAAGGCAGCATCCTTCCAACTATAGGCGACGGCACACATGGGGACGTCAAAGTCAGGATCCGAAAAGCAAGACAGACCTTCCTGCATTAACATGCATTACGCAATTCGTTTCGTCCCTAAATGTGAATAGAGTAATAGCAATTGACTGAGCAAAAAGTATTTATAAATGTATAATCTGTTTATCAATTATTATAACTCCACGCACACTATTCTTGTGACTTTAATGTTAGCTTGTCTTCAAGCCAGTTATTTCCTATCAAACTGTAAACATGTTTTGCATATTTCAATACTAAAATTGTTTTAGGTTGTAAGCTGATGAGTTTAAAAAATGCAATGAACCAATGCTATCATTCTACTATAGTCGCTCTATTTCAGTCTCAATATTTACTATCGTTTCACTCCACTAACGGTTAGCAGTAAACTAAGTTACCTATAAGTCATACGTAAGTAGTAATTAAGAACAAAGCAATACAACCTTTGTCCCTAAGTCATTATCACTGAAAAAATATCTAAAATAACATGTATGGAAGAAGAAAGCAAAAAACAACAAGAGAACAACAACGACTTCATACATATTATTTATTTGCTTCAATCATTCACACTGACTTGAAATATTATTTGAACAAGTTGGAGACCATAAATTGTCGTAATTACATTCAGAAACAGATTATTTTGTCACCTATCGCTGGATATTCAAGTATCATTGTGAGAATTTGTAGAACTAATAGACAGAAAACTACTGTTTTGCAAGTTTCGCGACAATAAAAAAATATTGAAGTATTGATAATGAAGCCATACATTTATAAGTAACTGCAATAATTTTGAAGTATTTTCAACCGACTGATATATATATATATATATATATATATATATATATATATATATATATATTGTCCGAAGTAGTTAAGGAACACTTTTAAAACTTATGATGATGGTTGAAAATACTTCAAAATTATTGCAGTTACTTATAAATGTATGGCTTCATTATCAATACTTCAATATTTTTTTATTGTCGCGAAACTTGCAAAACAGTAGTTTTCTGTCTATTAGTTCTACAAATTCTCACAATGATACTTGAATATCCAGCGATAGGTGACAAAATAATCTGTTTCTGAATGTAATTACGACAATTTATGGTCTCCAACTTGTTCAAATAATATTTCAAGTCAGTGTGAATGATTGAAGCAAATAAATAATATATATGAAGTCGTAGTTTGTAGTCGACAAAATAGAGAATATTAAGTGACGCAACAACTTTATATCCCTTATACAATACACAATATAGTTTACCAACTTATCCGTGATTAATGTAAGTATAGAATTTGAGCAGTATGGTAGAGTGAAGTTCCAGGTTACACTAATCGATTTGATATAGCAGATAAATGGTAAATAAGACTGTATCAAAGAGACTGATCTAGTATGTAGTGGTATGTCACCCGTATTTGTACAGTTGTGAATAACTCGTAAATATGATGGACTATTAATCGGCAAGTCGATAGAAAAAATAGGAAGCCAATGTGGGAAGTTTGAAGAAAAATGAAGCTCGAAAGCCCAGTAGTTTTGTAGAGGATACCAGTCATATTTTAAAACACGGAATACAAACGCTGAGGAGTGAAATGATAAAGGAAGAGGTAGAAATGGGCCACTTAGGAATCCACAGAATTAGTCAGAGAGATGGAATAGTGATTCATCCACTCAGTATCTTATCTAGGGTGTACATACGAGTATTTTGTTGGAGTACATGAGATCTAACTCGTCGTTCTCAACTGTTATGTCTCATATGTAATATAAATTTTCACTAAATTATATAATGAATTAATGAACACCAAGTATTCTTTACATGATGTTTTACTTTCATAGGCTTCATTTTAATAGAGTAACACCATTTTTGTACTTACAATGGATTCGGTTCTCTGAGAGATCTAAGTTAAGTTCACATTTGTACAGATGAAACAAATCAATTAATTGTAGTTCAACTACAATAAAATAGCAAGCGCAGAGAACAAACTTTTCATTCCATAGTATGAATCATTTTCTCAAATTCAATAGGAACTTTGAGACTACATATCTCTACTCAACGGTGAAACTCCATTGAAAAAAGGATGAAGCATGGGATTCAATGATGCAAAAGATTTTTATTTTGAAAACCTCTGATACTGCAGGCTACTCATTTCAAAAATACAACTTGATGTAATGCAGTGACTTTAAGGGTCACCCTAGCAACTGTTGAAGTCACCAATCAGATTTAAGTTGGGAGAGTAGTTTTTCATAGAATAAAGAAAAGCAATTGATTAATTCAACAGTTGTTAGGGTGGTCTTCAAAGTCATCAGTGTAATGGTACTGCTATACTGTGGAATAAGATTGCCAAAATCTTCATAAGAAGCCGTAAGTTCTGGAAGTCTTTAACAACCAATCATACTGCACCGAAGTTACGACAGACACCACGGGAACCAACGGTTAAATATCGAATTGGTTGAAAGGACAAAAGTCAACAGAATATTCCAATCTAGAAAAGTCTGGAACTAGTCGAGGCCGCTGTGAATATATTTAAGCCCTTGTATTTTGTATTTATTTTTGACGCTGCAATACGCCTTCTGTTATCTTACCACCTGTTCCACTTGCCGATAAACTGAGCGACCATTGAGGGGTGGAATCCGAAGGTCATTGGTCAAGCGTCCACTCATATATATAAATAAAATACTTAAAGTGACCTTTTGAGTTAAGGATAAATGGTGTCGTGATTGGAAAAGAATCAGTGAAAACATTAGTTATACAATCTAAAAGTGAAGAAAGTAGTAGATCTTGAATACTAATTCGTATTCTCTACATCTGATCTTGTCAAATAATTAAGTATTCTGACATCAAAAATCAAAGTAACTGGAGATTATTTCATGTCTAGTTTGTACTAGGAACGGCGAGATACAAGTTATTACACGCAAGAAAATACCAATTGCATCCGTGATAATATTATGGTAAGTCCTGAAATAAAATTCAACTGTTTCTGAAACCTCCGTTACTTCAATATAGGAGTAAACCTTAGGCATTGTGGTCGATTGTAATTCCGAGTCTTTCTTTGTTTATCGAATCAGCACCAAACACATGCAATCGAAATGATTCTGCACCTGTCCCAGACATATGGAAAATTCTACTAGCACTATCATCATAGAGAAGGAGACAAAATTAGGAATATACAAACTCTGTCACCAAGTTGTGGAGTTATCTGATATGAATATGGACAATAAATTGTATCCGAAACGTTATCCATTAAATAATACTGTTTCACTGCGTGATATTTCTAACAAACCTCCGTTACTTCATTCAAAAATAATGTTTTCTATTACTAATGAGCCACAGATAACTGCAATCAGTACTAGACAAGACCACATCCCAGATGGCAACATCAAAATTCAGATGGGTAGAGTGACATGAATGCCAAACTCGGGGCAGACAACACAGGTAGAGAAATCATCATGGGTAGAGATGATGAACGAGAATGAAGAACTGTTTGCAAATTTCTGCGCATTCAACGATTTCGTGATTCCAGGCAGTGTGTACAAATACAAAGATATTCACAAAGCCACATAGATTTGATCTCACCAGATGGATGCACCACACTCAATATCAGATCGAATTAGTCTCAATCTGTGAAGAAAGTGGAGATGGAGAGGCAGTCTACTGGACACAAGATCAGATCAAAAAGGGGAGCAGATGTAGGTTCACACCACTCACCATCTACTGCAAGCAACCTACCTTCAAAATCAAGTTGAAAGCCTTCAAAGAAGTTGGTGATAGACCACACGGCAATCGAAGAATTACCAGTGAACACAAGCCCCACGACAAAAGCAGAAGTGAACTCATAAACCCTATAAAGTTACTTAAGTCCGCGAAAGCACCACGACAACACGGAATTCTCCAGAAACACTGAAAACAGATTCAGAGACAACAGTGAACATGCTCACATCACTACTGCACAAGGCTTGCAAGGAAGGAAAGGTACCTACCCATTATTCGCAAGAACGGCTACCTTGTCAAAATCCCAAAAGAACGGAGACGTGAGTCTTTGCAAGAACTGGCACGGAAGCATGCTCCTGCTCCTCTCCATCCCAAGCAAAATATTATGCCGCATCATCCTGGAGAGACCTAGAAGTGCTCTGCATTTGAAATCACCAACGGAACAGGCCGACTGGATTTAGGAAGAACAAATCATGTACGCATCAAATTGCAACACTACACTACGCATCATCATAGAACTGAGTAAAGAATGACAGTCAACCCTCTACCTCAACTTCATCGATTTTGAAAAGGCCTTCGACAGCCTTGACCGAGAAGTAATTCGGCAGCTGCTGCTTCAACACTACGGTTCCAGTGCCACAAACCTCTATATTAGCCTCATTCAACAGCTATATAATGATGTCAAGTGATTCACAATGGAAGGCTCAGTGATGTCTTCGAAGTGAAGAGAGGAGTAAGTCAAGACTGCCGCCTACTATCACCCATGATCTTCCTGATTGTGGTCGACTGGATCATGCAACAAACTGTGAGGAGCGAGAAGAGGGGCAAACACTGGCTGGACTGATGAAAAAAACCTAGAAGACTTGGATTTCGCCAACTATGATGATTTATGCCCAATGTCTTGTCGCACAAACTCCAAGATCTACAGGCGGAAAATAACAAGTTGACGGAGGAGGAGAGGCAGTGAAGACACGACTTCAAGTCGACCTAGAGAAGACGGAGTTGATGAAGATACACAACCAACAACAACAACAACAACAAACACTAATCACCATCAACGGGAGGAATCTAAGGGAAGTAGTCTCTTTCACCTACCTAAGCAAGGCAGCATCCTTCCAACTATAGGCGACGGCACACATGAGGACGTCAAAGTCAGGATCCGAAAAGCAAGACAGACTTTCCTACACTAACCTGAAATCAGTGTAGAGATCTACACAAAGCACACAGCACAAAGCGTGAACAACATCCCGATTTTCAACACCAACGTCAAGTCAGTGATTCTATGTGATGGTTCATAGACTTGACGCGTTACGAAAAGCATTCCCAACAAACTACACACATTCATCAACAGCTGACAACTACGCTCACTCGATATCGAACATCACACGGTCAGAATAACATGAATAAGCAACAAGGAACTCACTCTGGCCTGGCAACGAATCAACCAACAACCCATCACCATACAAATATACAGAAGGAAGTCGAGATGGATTGGATTGCGTATACACTGAGAAGACTATTCGGGGACATCACGTGCCAGGCCAGTCCCTCGAGTGGAACCTGCATGGAAAACGACTAGTTGAGCATCCGAGGGTGACATGGTGTAGATGGTGTGAGGAAGAAATGAAAGCTTGTGGGCAGTTGTGGAGTCAGGTTCAGAAGAGTGTAGAGAGAACAGAGTGAAATGGCGACGTGCTACTGAATCCCTATGTTCCACTGGGAACCGAGGACAAAAATAATAATTATAGATAAAAGGGTAGATCATACGAATTGCTGCCAACTCTTTACTTGGTTGTCACATTGAATTTATTCGTGTTGGAAGAAGAACTGCTTTAGGAGAAAAATATTTGGTAAATCCACTGAGAACCTAAAGTTTTTTAAATGCTTCATGAAAAGCAGCATCACAGTGTAGCCATTAAGCATCAATTGATCAGACTAGATTTGATCAGTGTGCCAAGGGATAAAAGTTTTTTTCTTTTGCTGGAACATCATTAGGTTTCTGAATTCTTAAAGAATAAGTTATCACAAGGTGAGTGGACGTTTTACGAAACAATATCAAAGATGGAGGTTGGAATAAAATGCTGACTGACACTTTTGCGTGTAAGTGATTTGACAGTCAGGTAGGGTAAGGGCAACATGATTCATGTGGTAAACAATCACATAAACTCATACGTGACTTTAGGGTGCAGATTGTTTCGTGTCTTCTTACTTAGGCCTCAATTCAGTTCCAAGGGCAAACATAGAGGTTCTGAAAGCGTATTGAAAATTTCAACTACAAGTTTACGATAGTAGCCTTGTCTGAATGGTTACGCGTGCAAATAGTTGAGAATTTGGTGAAGGAAGAAATAAAAATAAATGAGATTTACCTTCCATTGTGCCTTTTGTTACAATAATGGCATTGATCTTTGGATTATCATACTGAGTCTATAAGAGTTAAAAAGCATTTATTATATGTCAAGTTACTTTGATAAAATCCACAGTGAAATGATCTTCATCAATGCTAGCTGAAGTTCCATCAATATGAATAACCCCATCTTTTATTTTGAATGGTATATGAGCATCAAACGCAGTAGCCAAACCAACTTCATCAAAAATATCCAATTTTTGAATGATAGGTATTGAGTTTTGAACAAGAACGTCGAATACCTAGAGTGATTTTAAGAAAAAATAATAATAATAACTATGTACTGACAACTGGATGAACACTCATACTATTCCATGTGATTAGTGAAATAAGAGACGAATATATCATTAATTACTGCTCTAATCATAAGACTTTCTAAATAATAGAATAGCCAGAGCAGGAACCAACACCCAGCTTCTTTATCTCTATACCAAACATCAAAAGGTATCTAAGTATGCAGATTATTCGGCCTAAACAAATCACCACACTATTTTAAGGTAACTAACTGAATTCCGACTGAAGGCCTATTTCATCAAGAAATCATTAACTTTAAATACATATCCACAGAAAAAACAGATACTGAGATTCCCAAAAATAGCGACCTAATTGTTAAGTATTATCGGCAGTACTAAAAATATACCCAAGTATCCAAACATAAGTTCAACCCTTATGTGTTCACTTACTCCAAGTAATACGTTAACGCATGATATCTATGCAGATTTAGAAAGATAAAGAAACAAATACAGTAATTCTGAATAAAGATACGATACAGAGGTATGAAAACGAAGAAAAATAAGGCAACAAAATTCTTTAGTATCTGTACAATGAGTCACAGAGTATACCCAAAAGAATACTACTCTATAAAGCAACAAATTAGAAGGGAAAGAAGCTACATTGTCTTTTAATAATGAAAGGACAGAACTTCACGATAGAAACAGACAATGTTAAACCTCTGCTACTGCATGATACTGATACGGAAGATCCATATGGAGGATGATATTAAGAATAAATTTAGATAAAAAATGAAGCATACAATTTTCAATAGTTCTATGACGTTGTTACATTTCAAGATTGATTTTTCTATATTGTTGTAATAAGAAGATACGTGTAGAGTTTGTTTTGAAAGAAATTCTGCACATTGCAAATTTTATCTATTGTACTCGCTTACACATAAACAAAGTATGATCAAAATGGTATGGTTAAAATAGTAGGTGGTCAATAAAAAAATGATCCACTCAAAGGATGAGAGACCAAAGTATTTATCAACTGTACGACTAAAAGTCACCCGTTTGTATATGCAGTAGGAGAGTGTGACAAAAGCGGCTAGTTCTTTAGCGAATCCATCAATTATTTCACAAGGTGAAATACCAAATTATTGATCTCATATGTTGATTTTTAACGTGCGTAAGTTTTTCAACCTAATGATAGCAAAACTAAAAGGATTTCACATTTTAGACCAAAAATACCTTACCTATATTTCAATTTCAGCTGCATAATGACTAGAAAAACCAGATGATTATATTTTAACAGTCACTTAGACAGAAAACAATCCAAAATCAAAATAACTATGTATTGGTCCAAGTTACCACGCTTCATAGCATAGAGAGAAGAAATCGACAGGAAGGGAACCGAAAGAGAGAGAATGGTATCTTCAATAATCACACAAACTATAATCAAACTCAAGGGAAAAAAGTAGACCAAGAATGAAAAGGTGTAGCACGGTAGGATGCTCGAAACCTACAAAAGTATAAAGAGTGAGTGCTTTTTGACCTATTTTAATTTATATACGCTGATCGATAAGCACCACAACTTGCTGCCTAAAGTTATCAACCAGGAATCACTTGATTCTCTATAGGAGAAAAGCCAACAGTTAGAGACTATACATTGCTGAGAAACTGCAGTTTAACAACCTAAAAGTTTCCTTTACATTATTTTTGCTGAAGTTAATAACTTCAACGATTGACATTCTTGACTTACCACCATACTCTTGACTTCATTACTACTGCCTGAACAGGAGATAGTTTTAAAACCATATACGATTAAATACCTGAGACATTTGAGAATCTTTCAACTTCAAAAAACAATTTTACCATTGTTTAGTGGGAAATAACGTACTATTATGAAATAGACTTGATCCTGCATAGACATTTCGAGATCTTTCGTACTACGTATGGAGAAAATTGGTGAATGCCAAACGAAACGTACCTGCAACAATAGTTTCTGACCATCCAGTCTGAGTTGATGCATTCATGAAGATAAATAACCAGCTTAATCAGCTAGTGTCTTCTACTTCCACAAACTAAGTGTCGACGAAGAACCATCTTGTATTTCAGAAATGAAGAAAGCTTTCAAACACGCAGATAGGCAACATAAGACTTGACACAAATTAGCATCGATTCATCATGCGATACACCAGTAAATGGATTAGACGTCACCAGGAGCATTAACGAAAAAATTATAATACCAGAAGTAGTAGGAACCAAAAGATGAAGTGGTAGGATCTCTTCATAACAAAATGATATTAACTACTAGCAATGGATTATGGACCACACTCTATCAAGCACTTCTGAGCCCTACCTAGAGAAAACATTGACTGAATGGTGTAGTTTCTCGATTCAATTGCAATATTCCGAAACTATATATATATATATATATATATATATATATATATATATATATATATATATATATATATATATATATAAACAGTAGGGATTATGTGTAATGTACTATGGGAGGTTACACATTGTACTTTCTTTTTTGAGGATAATGTGTATTCGTACCAATGACCACTGTTTTCCTTTACGACTTAATATTCTTGGACAATGCTTGCTTAATCAAATTGTTGCTGATAAGTTCATAAATGCTGCACAGACAGAATACATGTTGATCATTTGTTCTGCAACGTGTCAGTTTCTCTCTTTCACTTATCAATGGACTTGCTGATGCCAGAAAGCTCTGAATACAATAAAAACCAGTCACTCTGAAGAACAGTTCAACTCCCCTAAAACTGAGTGGGATGTAGATGACAGTCCTCCAACACCTCAAAATCAAGGGTGTTTTAAACTCTAAGTCATGCAAAGCAGCGGGACCCGACAGTTTGGTGCCAGAGTGTTTTAATTATGGAGACGTTACTAGATAAAGTAGCGGAGGTACTAATTAGTGTATGGGAATCAGATGTAGTCCTATGAGACTTGTATACTAAACTGACCATTCCAGTACCGGAGAGAAGTCTGTATTCAACAACTACAGAGGATTAGTTTGACTAACTTGTATCCAGTATCCTAGAGTTCACAGTCAACCGATGCTTAAGTGAAGCACATGAACAACAAACTCAAGAAAACTAGACAGGTCATCATCACCATTATCAACATAGGACCAGGCATTACTGCGTAACGGTCCGAGTTGCCACACCTCATATCAGCACATCAAGTAAAAAGGTAGTGAGGCGAAGGATGAAGATAAGTGAATGCAGTCAAAAGAAATATAAAGTACGAGAAGAAAGGAAAGAGGAGTGACAAAATAGTGAGATTCGGTATAGCGTTGTTAAGATGAGGATAATGTGTGTATACATCTGCACCACTGACATCGGTTCTGAGCCATGTGATCACCTAGGGTCTCCAACCACTGGTTCCTCTTGTTCCACGGACCCCAACCACCTAGTCTGCATCGTCCTACATGGCTTAAACCAACAGTTAGAGACTTCAAACATTGGTGCCATGTTTTGGTCTGGCCACCTCAGGCCTTTTTCCAGCCTGGAACCACCTCAGCCAACATTGTGTGACGAGGCAATCGGTGACTAGGCATACGTAGTACGTGTCCCAACCATCTCAGTCGATGAAGGTTCACAACCTCGTCGACTGACTTACCTCTTCTCCCCAAAACTCTACACCTAACTTCTGCATTACTCACATGGTGACACCACGGAATACGGCCTATACTACATAGGCAACGGTGGTCAAACACCTGAAGCCTTTTTGTTCCAGACTCGGATGAGAGTGCGCCAATCAAACCTTCCTTCTTCGACAGCTTTTGGAGTATAGGTTACTTATCGGCGGTTGACAACTGCTATATTTCTCGAACTGAAGAAGGTATTCGACCCAGTCGATCGATGATGTTCTGACGTTATCTAACTGTGAATAAAGTATGCAAGGTTAATCAAGGCTCTCTGTTTAACCCTACACAGTCATCTAAGGCTTTACGAGGAATGATCGTCAGAAGAAACAACAGTCAGTGGTGCACACCAAGAATGCTCACTATCACTTCTTGTTCGACGTTTTTGTGGACGTGCTGATGGATAAAACCCCAGGTACCTCCAACTTTGCTAGGACAAATCTCTGAACAGCGCATCTGAATAACTTGCCCAGACTGCACTTCTGTGTCAGGTTCTACGTTAATTCTATCTGTCTGTCTTGACATTGTAATCTCTACGGTGTGAAATTTAAATATGAGGACCTGCACAGGGAAACTATACAACGTTTCATCTCAATATTTTTTTCTCACGAAAATCTTTTAGCTCCATGTTCTTCGAAAAAACCCTCTTCAGTAAATGCATTGATAAACTTAAAAGAACATTACAAAACGCAGATGAGATTTTGGGTTATGCAAACTCCAGTAAGTTTTGAAAAATACACTGTGACGTTAAAGATTATCTTGTAAGTAACCCGTGTGCAGGGAAATACGTTCAGGATGGCATTCCCATGACACAATTTCTATCCAAAAGGGTTCAAGAATTGGATTGGTTTCCATATATGCAATGGAAGTGAAGCTGTAGTTCATTGGTCTAAGCACTCGAATACCAAGCAGTGGATCATGGGTTTGAAGCTTCTCCTGCCTATTGAGGTTTGAGCAACCAGCTAGTACTATAATTACAATAGGTATGGCACACTGTCAACATGCACGCGCCTGCTGCAAGCATTTATTATTTTTTGTTTAGTTTCTACAGATGTTGAAGAATCCCTGGCGGGAGAAACTAAAAAAGCATATGGGATGAAAAAGTGATCTGACAAGGATGGAATCGATGCAGAGGATGAAAATAAAGAATGAAACTTTGTCCTCTGTAATATATAAGATGATAACAACAAATCTTTTCCAAACACAGATTGAGGCATAAGCAAAAGAAATAAGTAAAAGAATTCCCAATGTACTTCACGGATGCTTAGCTTCGTGCAAATGAGTTTACAAAGGTTTTTCATTTAAGTCAACAGAGACCGAACAATCAAGTTAAGGAAGAAAGTGAACTATATATTTTAAAATGGAACAGACGTCATTTAAAAATGCTTGTAGGTAATAAGGAAATTATTAACTATTATTGTTGTGTTGAGCTTTTTTTCGAATGGGTCTTCCAACGAACACATTTCATTCATTATTTATTGCGAGAAAGTAGTTTCATCAAAGTTTAAAACCTAACCATACTTCTGAACTAATTGCTTTGCTTTCAAATAAAAACTTTACGGAAGTTTTAAAATCAGCAGCAAGATATATTGTTATGTACTAAGCTAAGCCATACTCAAGTGAGGGCTAGTTACTAGGTAACTACTCACCCAAGTAGATGGATTAAGGCTTGAATACACGAGCCATGGTTCTAAAGTGCCTAAGAAAATGAACTGCGTCCATTTTATAGGGCATCATTTTCAATCTTATACTATTAAGTGATTAGCTGTAACGTCATTCTATTGCTGGTTAACATTCTTAGTATTGTATAATCAGAAATAAGTTACAGAGATAGGATGAGTGGATTTGACAGTCGGTATTATTACAATGAATCCATATAAGTAAAGATAGGTGAACTTCTTGCCTGAAGAATTAAATGATAAGCCACAAAGTCTTCTGAAAAATTGAAACTTGCAAAAACCAACTATTATTTCATATACATGAATAGAAAGAAAATGACAAAGCAAAACATAGAAGTCTGAGTAAAGCTCATACTAATCCGGATAAGCAAACTTCATGAAATCGAGTCAAATTAGGCAGATAAGCATAACTAAAGGCTGATAACTAGCAAAATGTCAAGCGAACAGAAGATAAAAATATCTTAACTGATATGATGTTTTACTTCATTATCCCCATTGTATCTGGTTAATCAGCAACCTCCGAAATGAATACTGTGTAAAACCATACAAAGATCTTTAATCAGTGTTACACATATTTACATGGCGTGAGAAAATTTGATTACAGTATATCAAGTAAAAAGAAACTGAATTAAAAGGGATTTGTGAAAAAATTACCTTTTGAGAGCGATCTGTGAACCAGACCTCTGAAAATTTTAACGTAAGAACATAGTCTCCATCGGAGGTTACTGGAATAGGATACGAAAAGTCTTCATCATGGTAACGTTCAGTTTGGTAAATTATATGGTCTTCAGGAGGGACGCGACCAATTGTAAAAGAACGACCATAGTCTGATGCAGTGCCCTTGTCTAAGAAATCAGCTTTGTACTCAATACCATAGGAGTCAGTATGTTTAGGACCACCACAGTTAACTGCCCAAACAGCTTCGCAGTGAATATGATCAATAAATAAGAGGAGAAAGGAAAAAATAAACATGGACCGACGGAAACTGGTTGAATATTTCTTACAAAACATCAGATATTCGGCCTGAAAAATGAAGTAGAATATGAACTTGCATTAACTACTGGCTCCAATTATACACACGAAACGTGATGCATACAATTTCAACGACAATAAAACGTATTAACTGATTATAAATTCATTTTAAATGGTAGTAAATAAGTAAGAAATACTAAATTTGCTTAGACTTGACAGATGCTGCCTTAATGTGATGCTTTTTTGAATTCGGATACAAAACAACTACGAGAATAGATATGGTTCCTATATAGTACATTAAGGCAGAAACCTGAAAAGATTATGAACACACCTTCATCCGTTCCGGACGAATCATTCTCTCATGGAGATGATGTAAGCATTATTTGGCACCTTGCACGTCGCCATTAAAAAATTATGCTATGACTACCTTCAGATTCACAGTAGCCACGATGTACGTCGTGGCTACACCGGCGGAGCTAGCACCGTAGCTCGTGCTATGCAATGACATATTTAGGACGTTAAGTACTCTGAATGTGGGAAAGCCAACGCGACCAAGCGGGCTGCACAAAATGTTGCTCAGAGATCTTGCACTCTAAGTAGCTGGTTACTTGACTACTATCTTTAAACTGCCACTTAGCCGGACACCTAGTTTGACGGTTAATGACACTGACTTGCAATATTTGAACCAGTGACCACTGGTTGAAGGTAAACTGCAGAAACCAACGAGCCACAGCTCCACACAGAAAATAGATTTAGTTATGCTATGGGGAAACTAAAGGAATGGCTTAGGACCTAACCAATCTTTATCGCTTTCTCTTAGATCAAACATCGTAGATAACATAGCAGGAGGGTTAAAATAAGCCAAGATCCAACGTCGTCATCGTAGAGTGCCGGTTTTCGTATTCAGTAATCCACTCTTCGAACCAACTTCCAGAGTAAGTGTCCGCATCATAAGTTGGCTTATTCAGACAGAAGTGGAAAAAAACAAGTGTGTTAAGCAAACAAAAGCATAGGCTCATGGACTTCTACTCTTAAAACCTGAAACTAAATCTGAGAAATTATTATTCCTGTGTTTTCCAACCTGCGTCATCATAATCGCCAGAGAAAGAAAATGACGAGGGACAATCGACAATGAATGAAACGAAAGTAATTAGTTAGGTGGTTATCATTCCGTTTACTTTGAATCGACAGAAATGCCTAAATTACAAGTAGAAGACAGAATTTAGAAGGCAGCATTACGATTGGGGGTACTTTGGAAACATACTTCGGGTGCATGAAGGAACATCGAGGGAGAGCTCTCTCTGTCTTCTTCTATTAAAACTTGCATTGTAAAGGTAGTTAAGTATGAAATCGCCTTCCAATACAAAATGGGGCACACCGAAGAATATTCTACACTCAAGTTTTATAAATGGTCAAGTGATTACTTATAAAATTTGGGTGGATTGTCAGATATTTAGGAACCTAGGTGTTTAACTTTTTGTGAAATTGTCTAGAGTTGTCCCCAAAAGAACAACTCTGGAAGTACTTAGGGACTTTTAGCAATTTCGAGGGTGAACTATGGGTTTTTCGAGGATATTGTACACCCTGAATACTACGGTCATTAGAAAATATCTCAAGGTTGTTTTTTAAAACCCCAAACGTCATTTGCGTAGAGTACCGGTTTCCACAGTGAGTAGTCAACTATTGGGACTGACTCCAGGACGAAGTGTTGTGCACGTCATCAACTGACTAATTAAAAAAGGACTGAACAAGCACAACAACCTAAAAGAAAAGGATCACTATGCGCTCATAGCCGTTTATCTTCAAACTAAAAATGTGAATCCCAAAATAAAGCATATATAATGCTGTAGATTTAGGATATTCTGGCTGGGATGTTGAAACTTCGATATTTATTTACAATAAACGTAAACTGTAATGCCATTGAAAACATAAAAATTAATAGTTTGGTTCTATCTCTTCGATATTATTTCCAAGTAAATTCGAACTATGCCATGGAGCGGATCCAAACCCTACTCACCTGCAGGCTAACTTCAGACAGCGACCTTCAGTTGAAACCACACCTCAACATCCAATGTCCAATACCTTTTAACTAGCTTGTGTAGGCCAAATAGTTTCTTCATGTCCCTTTCTTGGTCTTACTTAGCATTTCCAGGTCTTTGATGGATTTCGATGCAGTAGGTCTGTCCATTCACCAGCGGTGTCTCTGGTATACATGACAAGTTGTTGGGCGCTACAACATACAACGTCAGTAGAGAGAGTAGAGGGAACTTCTAGTTTTTTGAGCTCTTGCTTCTAGGTCTTGGGACTCGGTTCTTCTGTTTTATTATACTCTTTCGATGGTCACAGAATTCCTTACGTTTTTCTTACATGTAGCTTTGGAGGTAGGGATTGTCCATTTAAAGATATTTTTTTCCTGCAAATTGTTTCTTGGTTTGTTTGAGGGAGCAACATAGCTACTGATAGGAGCAACTGACCTTTTGAAATTCCTATTTTTCTAAGCGTCTACAATCAAGAGTTAACGTACCGTAAGAAATAGGGCAAATGGGGGATGAGAAAAAGTGGAGTGTGAAATGCACATGAAAATATAATAATAACAGCATATTTCGAATGGTGATATTGCACGAACAGGTGCCACTTTAACAGGCAATATCTAAATGTTATTTACTTATTGTGGCTGTAAAAGTTTGGGAAGAAACGAATCATCGTGCCACACAAAATCTTATGGAGTAAACATTTGTTTAGGTATTGCTGGTCACAAATATTAGATAAAAGTGTTATCGTTAAACAGCAGCGATGAAATTTGATGAGGGTATGATCTCACAGTATGAGGAGTATCCTAGAAATGGACAGTCATGCAATCTTCAAGAGTGCGTTGCATGTTGAGAACAAATGAATCCGGGGATGTTACAGTATTCACTAAGTTTGTACTGTCTATAGATGGCAAGCGGAACCGGAATGGACGGAGGGAGCATATTTGGGTCTGGTGTCATGGTGTGTGTATGGTGTCATGCAGAGTGTGGCAGTTGTTTGAGTCAACAATGTTGTAAACAGGATTCCATTGTGTATCGGCTGGCAGTTCGCCTTCCGGCAAGGCAGGAACGCTTCTGGTTCAACCATTGGAAGTTTCCCCCCGGTTATCAGAGAAAATCTCACCGATGTGCGATTGCCTTTATCCGGAAAGGGTCGGAAACAGATATCGCTCACCAAAAGTCCGTCGCTCGCTACAACTAGTCAAGTTGTGATTTTTATCTCGTCTGGCCCCCATCGAGTGTTTTTCCCAACTTTCTCCACCAACCCCGCTGTGATAAATGTGTTTCAAGGTCCATGTCCAAAAGGTTCATGTTTACTGCCTGCTTCACATCGCGGGCTAAATGTCGGTGTGCTGAGGCCTGCAGCGAAGACCATGTAGCCGTAGGCTACCGAGATGAGTGTCAAAATCGTGGTGAACAGTTGTGCCTGGTGCTCCTTTGTGCATAGAGGATGCTGCACACCACTCTTACTAGGTACCCCACCTGATTTATGGTGAAACAATTTCATAAGGAGTCTGGTAATTTGCTAAACACATCGTCAGTCGCCTTCCTGACTTTCTGGTGGATGCTAATGTATATGACCACTCCTCCAACCTCTCTGGACTGCCTATCCTTTCCGAAGAAGGTCAGGTTGGCCACAGACATTTTCTGGTCCGATACTTTTGGCGTCCGGTAATGAAAATCATATCTGCAAGCAGATAAAAGCACATTTACCCCAGTTCCAGTAGCCCACTTCTGTCAAATATCTCATCGCTGCAGAAGTGTGTCAAGAAAACACGTTCTGCGTTCGGTGTGGTGTGGGAATTTGTGTGGACTTTAATGTGTTGTTGCTTCGGGTTCTGATAGCTAGTTCCTCTGTGTGAGCCTCCGCGTTCGAGCCTGCTAGGCGCCTTGATGTTGGTGTGGCCGGGGAGTTCATCGATGTGCTTACAGTCGTCAGTTTACCGAATGGTCAGTTTGTGGCTAATACTGCCTGTAGTGTTGTTGGATGTTGCCTTCTATCTTCCAGTCCAGCGGACTGTAATATGCCTTCGCAACATTGCATGGCACCTCCTATTTGATTTTTACGCGGTACCATGCCATAAGGGCCTCTGTGAGTGATGCCTTGGAGTTGAAGCATACATCTACCGACCTCAGCAAGGAGATGCTCCGTAGGTAAGTTTTGGCAGTTTAATTACCCTGGTGGCAGACAAATTTTCTAGTCCTGTTTTCGCCGCTAGCCATCTTCACCAGCCGACTTCATGCAGGTTTTAATTATATTCTGAGGACCTACCAGCCAGTTCAGGCATCCTATACGCCAACGTGGCTGTAGGTTAGTAAAGACAATTAAGCGTCAACTTCCCCACCGCCCCCAGAGTAACTCATGGCCTATTCGACTTCACTCTTACGATGCAGTAGCCTGCAACGCCTGGTAGTTTGCCCTCCAACTGTTCCGTTGTTATCGATGACGCGCCAAGAGGTGGCAGCTTACGTCTTGGTGTCCCACGTCCTTGGGAGGGCCGGTAAAAGTTAACTCCAATCGGTTCCACCCTAGCTTCTTGCTGCAGTGAGTCCATTCCACACCGTCACACTGCTCTCTTTTCTAAGAGTGGGTCTGTCTATATGTATGGGGCCATTGAACAAGATGATGACGTCCGTTCTCTTGTCCTGTAGATGAAAAGTATTAGGTTAGGTGGCCAGTGTTTCCGGCTTGCCCTTCCTAGAAAAAAACCCGGGCCCATTTGTTATTGACCCGACCTATTTCCCAAGGTTGTCTAGTTCCCTGGGATCCTCTGGGTCTTGCCGATACGCTGACTGAACACTTCATTGGGACCTCACTTGGAGTACGAACTCGTAGCCCTCTGTGCCTAGGAATGAGATCCCTGAGCACTGGTGGTGCTTGCCCAGTCTCTGCGCGTAGATCTAGGGGCTCGTATTTTGTAATACCCTGGGTTGTATTAGGTCCTCTAGCTTGGCGGCGGTAATAGCAGGTAATTTCCAACATTCGGGACAGTTGTACCACGTCCACTT